CCCTAGCGGCCCCGTCGCCGCCCTTCGAGGCCCCTCTCGGCCCTTTTGCGGCCCTGTCCCCGCCCCTAGCGGCCCTGTCGCTGCCTCTAGCGGCCCCGTCGCCGCCCCTATCGGCCCCCACGCCGCCCCGATCGACCCCGTCGCCGCCTCTAGCGGCCCCATAGCCGCTCCTACCGGCCCCGTCGCCGCCCTTTGAGGCCCCTCGCGACTCCTTCGCGACCCCGTCGCCGCCCCTAGCGGCCCCGTCGCAGCCCTTCGAGGCCCCTCTCGGCCCCTTTGCGGCCCCGTCGCCGCCCCTATCAGTCCCGTCGCCGCTCCTAGCGGCCCCGTCGCCAACCCTATCAGCCCCGTCGCCGCCCGTAGCGGCCCCGTCGCCGCCCTTCACGCCCCCCCCCCTTCAGCTGCCAAGCGGCCAAACCACGGAGCCGCCGAGCCGCCCAGCCGTGGAGCCGCCCAGCAGCCGCGCCACCCAGCAGCCGAGCCGCCAAGCTGCCGAGCCGCCCAACAGCCGAGCCGCCCAGTAGCCGAGCCGCCCAACAGCCGGGCCGCCCAGCAGCCGAGCCGCCGAGCTGCCGAGCGGCCGAGCCGCCGTCGAGCCGCTACTGTGCCTACCAGCCCGCACCGGCCCTTCCTACCCGAACTGGTGAGAGCACTCCCTGTTAGACCACTGCTGTCATGGCTACCCCCAGTGTCCTTACCTTCGATGCTGAGGGTCGTGCTGTTGACTTTGAGGTCTGGGTCGATGACCTCCAGCTCTTCCTACAGCGCAATAGGGCAGACGGACTCTCCTTGTTTGATCTCACCTCTAGTGCCTCTCCTGCCCCGCCTGCTACTGCTTACAGCACTGTTTGCTCACAGTGGGCCACACGCGATGCTGCTGCCCGTATTGCTGTGCGTCGCCACTTACCGACCGCTGAGCGTGCGCACTTTAGTCAGTACAAGAGTGCTAAGACCTTGTACGACGCTGTAGTTGCACGCTAATCTTCCCCTGCCACTCCTGCTCTTAGCCGCCTCACGCTGCCGTACCTGTTCCCTGACCTTGCTGCCTTTCCCACAGGCGCTGACCTCATTACGCACCTTCGCACTAGTGACACTCGCTACCGCGCTGCGCTTCCTGCTGAGTTCTGTGCAAAGAACCCTCCCCCCATGTACATCACCCTCTACTACATAGTCACCTGACTCCCTGACTCCCTTCGCTTAGTCAGGGACCACTTCCTCTCTGTTTTCCCCACCACACTCACCGTTGACCTCCTCGAGGAGCGCCTCCTAGCAGAAGAGAAAGCATAGTCGTTGTAGGAGCCTCTCTTGGTGACCCTCGTACCCCCGTCTTTGAGGGGTGTTCCCCCTCCCCCCTCTTGCCCGCTGTTGCTTCTGCAGCTGCGGCCGACCTCGTTGGTTTTGAGTCGGTCGGTGCTGCGTCTGCCCCTAGCGGGAGACGCCGCACAGGCAAGAGCAAGGGGGGCAAGGGCGCTTGAGGGGCTGGCGGGGTCGGTGGAGGTGGCGGTGGAGGCAGTGGAGGGGGTGGGGGTGGTGGTGGGAATGGTGGAGGGGGTGGAAGTGTCGGTGGCAGCAGTGGAGGCGGAGGAGGCGGCGGCGGTGGCGGTGGGAGCGGAGGCGGCGTAGGCGGCGGCGGTGGCGGCGGCGGTGGAACTGGTCGCGGCTCTGCACAGAGGAGTGGCTCCGGTGGTGGTCAACGCTAGCAGCAGCAGCGCACTCGTGAGACCCCGTCACCCCAGCAGCTTCGTGAGTGGTACGCTGCGCGTCAGCGAGGTGGGGGTACTGGTCCCTGTACCTACGTCCTCTGTATCGGAGACCGCGCTGGTGAGCAGTGCGGGGGCTCACACTCCACCCAGCGCTGCTTCGGCCGCCTAACGGACGCTTGGCGTCACAAGTTCCCTGACGCCCTTGAGATCCCTCGCTACGGAGAGCTGTCTAGGGCGGGGGTTGCTATCTTTGATCTTGACCATGATGCTATTCTTGCTGCCATGTATGCTGTGTGTGCTAGTGATGAGGGTGACTGTTACCTGTGTGTTCCGCTTGGCCGGGGCATTGAGGCTGCTGCTCTAGGTGCTGGTGAGGCTGCTGCTCTAGGTGCTAGTGCGTCTGCTGCCCCAGGTGCTGGTGAGTATGCTCTCTCAGGTACAACGTCGGCTTAGGCCTTACACACCTTCACCCTTGACTCGGGTGCTTCCCGCTCCTTCTTTCGAGACCACACCACGCTTACGCCGCTTAGTCGGCCGGTTGCGGTCTCCCTGGCGGACCCCTCCGGGGGTCCTGTCTTTGCTCGCTTCTCCACTGTCTTACCGTTTCCGGCAGCCCCCTCTAGCAACCTGTCAGGTCTCTACCTCCCCTCGTTCCCTACAAACTCGGTGAGTGGTGCTGACCTACACGATGGGGGGCTTGACCAGTTCACTCCTGCGAGTCAGCGGGTGACCCACTGCACGTGTGCTTGGAGGAGCCGACACTTGGCCACGTTTACCCGTTGGCCGGGGTCAAGCCTGTACACACTGACTATTGAGTCTCCTCCGGTTGCTGAGTCTGGTCAGGTAGCTGCGTCGAGTCTGGTGTTTGCTGCAGCGTCTAGGTCTGGTCCTGAGTCTACGCCCTGCTCGTGTCGTTTGCTGTCCCACCAGACTCTCCTTTGGCACCACCGCCTTGGTCACCCCTCCCTGCCTCGTCTCCGAGGCATGGCCTCCCATGTTCTTGTCTCTGGTCTTCCCCGGTCCCTACCTCCCCTACCTGGGTCCTCTGCGTCGAAGGGCGACAGCGCGCCGCCCTCCACTCCTCCGAGTTTCCTCCGACAGAGGCTCCGCTGCAGACTCTTCACATGGACGTGTGGGGCCCCGCCCGCGTCCGTGGCCAGGATCACGAGCGTTACTTCTTGTTGGTGGTTGACGACTACTCGCGTTACACCACGGTGTTCCCCTTGCGCAGCAAGGGTGATGTCACTGAGGTGTTGATGGACTGGATCCGCGCAGCTCGTCTCCAGATCAGAGAGGGTTTCGGCTCGGACTTTCCTGTTCTGTGTCTGCACTCTGACAGAGGCGGGGAGTTTTCCTGTGGCCGTCTGGGAGCCTTCTGTCGTGCACAGGGCATCCGCCAGACCTTCACGCTTCCGGCCTCTCCACAGCAAAATGGGATTGCTGAGCGCCGCATTGGCATGGTCATGGACGTTGCTCGTACGTCCATGTTCCATGCGGCTGCTCCCCATTTTCTGTGGCCGTTTGCGGTTCAGTACGCAGCGCATCAGCTCAACCTTCAGCCCAGGGTCTCCTTGCCAGAGACCTCCCCCACCTTGCGATGGACGGGGAAGGTTGGCAATGCATCTGCGTTTCGGGTCTGGGGATCTTGGGCATTTGTCCGCGACTTGTCTGCGGACAAGTTGTCCCCCCGTGCTGTTCCCTGCGTTTTCCTTGGCTTCCCCCCTGACGCGCCTGGTTGGCAATTTTACCACCCCGCCTTGCGCCGTGTTTTGTCCTCCCAGGACATCACCTTTGACGAGTCGGTGCCTTACTACCGTCTCTTCCCCTACCGCACTGCGCCCCTCCCCCCGCCGCCGCTCTTCCTTGCGCAAGGTCCTCCCCCGGTAGGTGTGTCCAAGGTAGACGCAGTTGAGCCTGTCGAGGTAGCTGTTGACTCTAGTGCTGCTAGGGGAGCTGAGCCTGCGTGTGCCGGGTCAGGGGGTGCTGAGCCTGGGGGTGCGGAGCCTGGGAGTGCTGAGTCTGGGGGTGTAGAGCTTGGGGGTGCTGAGCCTGGCGGTGCTGAGCCTGGGGGTGCTGAGTCTGGGGGTGCTGAGTCTGGGGGTGCTGAGCCTGGTGGTGCGGAGCCTGGAGGTGCGGAGCTTGGGGGTGCTGGGTCTGCTTCGTCGAGGCGGGAGCTACTCTCTCCGAAGGAGCTGCGCGATTGGTTTGCCCGCCGCTGGAGCCGTGCTGCAAGAGCTGGAGGTACTACTTTTGCTCCTGGTCCTGTAGGTGCTCGTACTGGAAGTACTGGAGCTGCTGGGACTGGGGGTGCTGCTGGGGCTGCTGGAGTTAGTCCTGCAGGAGGTACTGCTGGAGCTACTGGCGGTGCTGGAGCTGACGGTCGTGCTGGAGTTCGTGCTATTGGAGCTGTTGGAGTTGGAGCTGCTGGGTGTGTTCGCGCTGGTGGTTCTGCTGGCGCTGGTGCTTCTGAGGGTGCTTGAGTTGGCGCTGTTGGAGCTGGAGGTGCTGCTGGCGCTGGTACTGCCGCTGGGGGTACTGGTGCTCTCCCTTCTTGTTCTGGAGGCGCTGCGCGGCCGAGGCCGTAATTTGTTCCGCTCCTTGAGCAGGTTCTTGGTCTCCCGCCCTCTATTGGTCCTGCTCCTCCCTTAGAGTGTCCATAGCCTGTCCAGTTACGGTCACAGTTCCAGCCAGCCTCCCCCCTACCAGCTCCTTCTCCCTACACTGGTCCTACTGGAGGTCTTGCTGAGCGTTGTGAGCCTACGTCTCGTCCTGCGTTGCCTATTCATGCTGCTCGCACTAGTGGTCGTTCTCCGCGTCCGCGTCCTCCTACGGTCCCCGGCACACACCAGATGGCACTGCGTCCTTCCACTACTCCTCTGCGTGTCTCGTTGCCGTCTCCTCCAGAGTCCTCTCTTCCTACTCTTGCTAACCTGGAGTCTGACTCTCTTCGTGCTGTCTGTCCTCCTGTCACGCGTCTCCTGGCTACTCTTGTCACTGACCCTTCTTTTTAGTCCACTACTGCGTCTGCCTTAGTTGCTGAGCTTGTTGACTTTGCTGCTCGCTGTCGTCTAGACTACGCTGCTAGTCTTGTTGCTGAGTCTGAGTTTGTCTGTCCTCCGTCCGTCGGGGGTGAGTGTGCTCTTAGCGCGGACGTCCTTGAGGACAGGCAGGAGGAGTTCTAGTGTTTTGCTGCTGCTTTGCCTCATCTTGTGTCCACGGTGATTGCCCCTGAGGGAGACCCGGATGCACCAGACATCCTGACTCCTCGATCGTACGCTCAGGCAATCGCAGTCAGCCATGGACGCAGAGATGGCTTCCTGGAAGTCCACAGGCACCTACGTTGACGAGGTTCCCCCACCTGGGGCGAACATCGTCACTGGCATGTGGATTTTCAGGGTGAAGCGGCCGCCAGGTTCTTCGCCTGTCTTCAAGGCGCAATACGTGGCTCGAGGCTTCAGTCATCGGCAGGGAGTTGACTACTTTCAGACCTTCTCTCCCACCCCGAAGATGACCACTCTTCTGGTGGTGCTGCACATAGCCGCTCAGCGTGACTACCAGCTTCACTCTCTTGACTTCAGCACAGCTTTCCTGCAGGGCAGCCAGCACGAGAAGATCTGGCTGCGCCGCCCACGTGGCTTCACTGGGTCGTTTCCTACTGGTACCCAGTGGAGCCTCCGGCGGCCAGTCTACGGTCTCCGCCAGGCGCCCCGTGAGTGGCACGACACACTGAGGACTACACTTGCGGCTCTTGGGTTTGCTCTGTCTACTGCCAACCCGTCGCTGTTTGTGCGCACCGACACCTCTTTGCCGCCGTTCTACATCCTCGTGTACGTCGACGACTTGGTCTTTGCCACTGCTGATACTGCTGGACTCGCCCACGTGAAGTCCGAGCTGCAGAAGAGACACACGTGCACAGACCTGGGTGAACTGCGCACCTACCTTGGCTTGGAGATCACCCGGGACAGAGCACAGCGCACCATTACCCTGACTCAGTCACACATGGTGCAGCAGGTCCTTTAGCGCTTCGACTTCACGTACTCCTCGCCTCAGGCCACTCCTCTGTCTACTCGCCTCTCGCTCTCAGCTCTGCCTTCGCATGAGTCCGTAGAGCCGAGTGGCCCGTACCCAGAGCTTGTTGGCTGCCTCATGTACCTGATGACCTACACACGACCTGACCTAGCATACCCTCTTAGCATCTTGGCACGCTATGTTGATCCTGGGAGACACCGACCAGAGCACATGGCTGCAGCGAAGAGGGTGTTGCGCTACTTGTGCAGTACGTCGGGCATGGGGCTAGTGCTTGGAGGGCGACGTCCAGTGGTCCTCATAGGTCACGCAGACGCTTCTTGGGCTGACGACCAGGCTACGCAGTGGTCTTCACAGGGTTACACCTTCAGCCTTGGCTCCGGCTCTGTTTCGTGGCGATCTACCCGCTTGTCTTCTGTTCTAGGCCCCAGCTGTGAGGCTGAGATCTACGCGGGGGCCATGGCTGCACAAGAGCTACGCTGGCTCACCTACCTGCTGACTGACCTAGGAGAGCCGTCCTGTCTCCTCCAGCTCTATACGTAGACAACAAGGCCATGCTGGCCTTGTGTCGGGAGCACAGACTTGAGCACAGAATGAAGCATATTGCTCTTCGCTGCTTCCTTGCTCGTGAGCTGCAGCAGCGTGGTCAGCTGCGCCTTGCTTACGTGGCCTCTGAGGCCAACACTGCTGATATCTTTACCAAGGCACTTCCGCCTTGTAATCATCAGCGCTTCTGTACGATGCTAGGTCTTGTGCCTACTTGGCCTCACTTGCTCACTTCTTGACCTTGCTTGTACTGTGATCTTTCTATACCTGCACTTGCTTGTTTACCTTTATATATGATCTTGCATGTGAACTGGCCTTGTGGCCTTGCTCTTGTGCTCGGACTATGTGGTGACGTTGTGATCCACCCTGAGCTTGCTTTGCTTTGCTTGACTGGTCTTGTGACCTCTTGTTCTCCCCCACTTTGACTATGGGGGTGTGTGAAACTCATATGCTATAGTCTGTGTAGGCTGTAGTGGGGTAGACAATATGGGGTACAACACTTTTAGGTTTTCCTACTTGTACCCACCTGCTTTCTAGTTCATTCATTCCTTCCTCATTTCTTCATAGTCCTCTCCCTCCCTAGTCTTCTCGCTAGCAGCTATTGCTACTTTTGAGAAGATAGACATCCCTGCTGCCTTTTGCCACTGTCACCCGCCTCTAGCTACCTTGTCTCCAGCTGGGACTGCCAGATCCAGCTGGCTTCTGGGAGCTTGCCTGCACACACACGGAAACAAACACACATTCAAACGAACACTCATCCAAGTGCCTGTGGTAACCGCCCTGCCTCCGCTGCCACTGCCCTGTGCTGTAATTCGCACTTGAGTCCACGTCCTTCTCACGCCTGTCCCGCCCTGCCTGCTTCCCATGCCTTCCCCGACCCTTCGCTTCGGCAGACATCCCCAACCCCCAAGTCTCTCAAGCTCCCTTCCCTACCCCAACCGCCGCTTGACCCTTCGCTCCTCATCCTTGGCACTGCCTGGCTCACTATTTACAATATGTACACTTTGTACATTCCACCCTTGCTCTCCTTGCCTTACTCTTCACATACATATAAATGTGACAGCTGTCGGATCCTCACCACTCCCTTCTGCCTTTGCAGTCCTTGCTCCTTAGGCTTCCTCCCTCTCTCCCAGTACCACCTTCTCCTAGTATCACTCTTGCTCTCGTGCTTCCCTCCCTCCCTTTGTCATTGGTGCTCTCGTGCTTCCCTCCCTCCCCTTGTCACCCGTGCTCTCGTGCTTCCCTCCCTCCCCTTGTCACTGGTGCTCTCGTGCTTCCCTCCCTCCCCTTGTCACTGGTGCTCTTGATGCACTCACTCCTGCCCCCTCCCATGACCAGCTACTGCTGTCCTCGCCCTGGTCATGGGACCAGCATATGCCTGCGCCTTCTTAGCCTTCCTAGCCACGTTAGTCACATGATCCATGACTCGCTTGCCTCCCTCCTCTAGCACCAATACTCCTGATTCCCGCACCTCCTTCACAGTCCACCTCTACTGGGACACGCTGAGGTCCAATCCATCCTTCTTTGCTCGCCGCACATACACTTCCTGCCCCACGTCCACTCTTTGCTCTCCTCCTTGCATCTTCTCCAGCTGTCGCTGGCAATAGCGGTGAATGTCCCGTAGCTTTTCCACCTTCAGGTTCTCCATTGCGGCCGGCAGCATCTTCTTGAGGTATACAGTGCGCGCATCTGCCAGCGCCACCCACTTCTCTGCTGTCCCTGCTGAGACGCTCTCGGTGAGCAGCCTGGGTGCTCACCCAGGCAGTATCGGCTGCTTCCCAAACAGTAAGTAGTAGGGCGACACATCCTTGAGGGCCGCCTGCTTGCTGAACCTGTACCCAGGGCAACTTCTTGTCCCAGTCCCCCTTGTGTGCCTCTCCATACACTCTCAGGCCCTTCTTCACTGTCTGAACCAATCTCTCAGTCAGCCCATCAGCCTGTGGGTGGTATCGCGAGGTGGTGCGGTGCTAGATCCCGTTGGAGGCCAGCAGCTCCTCGAATTCTCCCTGCAACTCTGTCCCCTGATCCGTTAGTACCTCTCCGCATGCCCCACATCGCGTCAGCACCATTTCCTTGAGCGCCTCCGCCACTGCTGCTGCGGTCTTGCTCACCAGTGCTCGTGCCTCTGCCCACTTGCTCACATGCTTGATCATGAGCACAGTGTACCTCCTTCCCCTCTTGGACACCGGAAGCTCCCCTGCTATGTCTAGTGACCAGCGGTACCCTAGCTCCACGATCGCCAACGGCTGCAGCTCCGCTCGACTCCTCAGCAATGTTGCCTTCTTCCTGCAACAGAGTTCGCACTTCTCCACCCACTCCTTCACCTCCTTCCTCATTCCTGCCCACCACCAGGCGGTATGCAGCAGCTGTACTGTGCGCAGCGGGCCGAAGTGCCCCATCTTGTCGTGCACCTCCTTGATGATCGCTGCTCGCTCCGCTGGCTCTGGCACTCGCTTCCACCCCTCCTTCGTCCGTAACTGCACCTGCCCCTGGTACCACCTGTAGTGTTGCCCCCTTGCCCTGGCTTTGCTTCTTGCTCCCCCATCCTCACCTGTCTCCCCCTTGATCCAAGCGAGGGTCTCCTCATCTTGCCACACGTCCGCCGCCTTTCCCCTTGGTTCTCCTTCTGCCCCCTTTTCCTTGACCATTGCTGTCAAGGCCGCGGCTGGCTGCTCCTTCTCTGGATCACCTTGCTCTTTCTCTCTGGGGGGGTTGCGCGAGAGCCCATATACGTGTTGCATGGTCTTGCCAGGGCGATTCTTCACTATGAAATTTTACTCTTGCAGCTTCATTGCCCATCGCGCGTTCCGCCCTGTCAGCACTTGGTTCTGCATTAGCCACAGTAAGGGCTGATGATCTGTCACCAATGTGAAGTGCCTCCCTTGTAGGTACACCCGAAAGTGCCCCACCACCCAAACTGCCACCAGTCCTTCTCCCTCGTAGGATGAGTAGTTAGCCTCTGCAGGGTTGCATGTCTTGCTAGCAAATGCCACCACCTTTTCCTGCCTTGCCTCCATCTGACTCAGCACTGCCCCCATTCCCACGCTGCTCCAATCTGTGTATAGCACAAAGGGTGTCTTCCTGTCTGGCAGTTTCAGCACTGCTCCCGCCTTCACCGCCTCCATCAGCCCCTTCAGTGCCGCTTCCTGCACCTCCTCCCACTACCATTTCTGATCCTCTCTCAGCAGCTTGTTCAGCGGCGCCGCTTGCTTGCTGAAGTCAGGAATGAACTTCCTGTAGTAGTTCAAAAACCCTAGTAGTGCTCTCAGCCCACTCCTATCCTTCGGGCGCTCCACCCTATCCAGCACCTTGACCTTCACCTTCTGTATGCTCAGCTCTCCCCTGGCCACTTCAAACCCCAGGTAGGCCACGCTGCTATGTCCGAAGCGGCACTTGCCTAGATGACACGTTAGTCCTGCCGCCTGAATGGCTGCCAATGTAGTTTCAATGTCCTCCACATGCTTCTCGTTGTCCGCACTAAAGATGATGACATCATCTATATAGCAGGCCGCTCCCTTCACCTCCCTCTGCACCGTTTCCATCACCCTCTGAAAGACTGCTGAGGCATTCCTCAATTTGAACGGCATGAAGTTCCATTCATAGAGTCCGTCCGGGCCGTAAAATGCCGTCTTCTTCTTGTCCTCTTCTGCTATTGGGATTTGATTAAAGCCCTGCCTTAGGTCCAGCGTTGAGAACACCCAGCTACCGTGCAGCTGGTCGAATATCTCCTCCGCCATGGGCATCGGGTAGCGGTCTGTGGCTGTTACTTTGTTTGAATCCTGGTAATCCCCACACATCCTCCTAGACAGCACCATTCCCATTAGGTCTGTTCTCGCGGCCACCACAGTCGCTGCTGCGTAGTCTGACGCCGACCTGCGAATTAATCCCGCGGCCAACAGTTCTTGACATTTTGCCGTGCACACCTCTATATCCTGCGGGCTCATCCTCCTCCGCCTCTGATACACCGGTACTTCGCTCGTCAGCGGCAGGCGCATGGTGCTCATCGTGCACTTCCCCAGTTCTTGTAGGTTATGAGCAAAGACGTTCGCGTATTGCCTTAGCACTGCCTCCACTTTTATCGCCGCTGTCCCTTGTAGGGCCGCACCGATGTTCCATGTGTGATGCCTCTCCTCCCCTCCTGCTGCTTCCTGCCCTCCTCTCGCTGCTGCTGCTCGGGGTGTTGGTCCACCGTCTCTGTCCGCCTGCTCGCCTCCTACCTCTTCTCTCTCTAGGGCCTCGTTCGAGTCTGCTGCCTGCCTCTCCTCATTCTCATTCAGCAGCGCCACGTATGCTCTGCTCGGGCCCAAGAACACTTTGTCGGTGTCTGAAATCTATCTCTCTGTAGGATCCTCCATGCCCTCACTGTCCCAGTCCATTTCTGGTTTCCCCCCACTCCTCTGATTCCTCTTCTTCCTCTCCTTGATCTGGATAACTTCCTGGGATTCCGTTCCTATCATCCAACACCCTGTCCATTCTCTTCTCTTGCGGTACTTCCCTTCACCTCTCTTCCCATGCCTCCTCCTCTAGGTGTGCCAACAGTATCTTGGACTCCTGCCTCTTTATCTCATCCTGCTCCATCCTTGGGTCGGCCCTCTCCGCATGATCCCTTCTCCTCTCCAGGCGCTGCTTCTCTAGGTGTCAGTTCATCACTCCTACTAGCCAGTGCAGCGCGTTGAGATCCATAGCGTTGCCTAGTGCTCTCCTGCGCTATCGCTCAGTCACCTCGCTACTCGCCATGGCTCCTGCCATAAATCCCATTGCTAGCTTGCGTTCCAAAGCTGTTGGTTCCTCCCAAACTCCCTTCAGTCTGTCAAACACCATCCCTGGACCTTCTCTGCCGTCTTCTATCTTGAACCCCCTTGCCTGCTCATGCGCCACCAGCGTGGGCCATGCCTGTCGAGGCTTCCCCACCCTATTGCACGGGAATTGTGTCTCATGATCAGGATGCCTCACCGGCGCCGGGATTCTTGCCAGTTCCAGAATGTCCTGCACCAGGC